TAATTATTATTATTATTAATTATTTTCTATTAAGATAGCGAAAAGGCTTAAGAGTCTCGCCAGCTCCTTACCATGAAGCAATACACTTGGAGGGCTGAGAACATTGGGTCAGGCTCTGGTAAGGTAGCCAGCCAGCTACAGATTGAAATTACTCTAGGGTTAAACAATTTTCCCTGATTGCATGCTGCCATCCACATCTCTCTCTCCTGACCTTCCCCAAGGCATGCGAACTGCACTGCTATGTGGGACTCCGGAGAGGATGTCTTGAGCAATGCATTAGCCCTATTACTGGAGGAGCTCTGTGTGGGAAGTATGCTCCCTGTCTTGTCCTTGCCTCATTTTGGATGTTTTCTTCTCCCGCTCCCCCATCCCAAGGGGAAAGTGTCACTCAGAATCTGCAAGATTGGTTTACAAGACCGGTTTAAATGCGCGGCAGGTAATCACTGGCCAGATGATAGATGCTTAGATCCATGGTAGGACTGAGCAACACCACAGGCTCCCTCTATCTAGTAAGTGAGGCATGCTGGGATCCATCCTGTCACCCATAAGCTGAATGGTACAACATCAACTGTCCATGCTGCTAAACTCTCTTACCTGCCAAAACAAGGTGGTTTTCCCCTTTGGGCTTCCTCAGGAACACGCATGGCACCTATTTTCTGCAGCGTAGGTGGTGTCTGGGAGAGGGCAAAGGCTGAAGCCAAGCTATGGGGTGTGCTAACACTTTGCTGGTTGATTACATTTAGGGTGATTAGGAAGGATGCTTGAGCCTGTAACAGTTGTTCTCAGTTCCTTGGCATGGTAGAAATACCAGCCATAGAGTACCAAAGTCATCACAAGCAGTCCTTTGTTAGGTCTTTTAGCACCTCTTCTAGGTGCTGCAGAATTTTATCTGTCAGCACTCCAAATGCTTTGGAGCCAAATCACCTTTTGAAATGATGTTGAGTCTCAGGTCTCCTTTTAATCAACCAAAGGAACTTGGCTCCTACATCACATCATAAGCTGCTGAACATTGAGGAGCAAGGGATGGTGTGGGGCAGTCCTGACTCCTAACGACACCGACATACCAGTGACATGCTCCCTGAGTCTCAGGTCACTTAGGCATACTAAAGCATGTTCCCCTGTGGCCTCTGCTTACTTTTCTCCTCTTGTTGCTGAGGAATGTGAGAAGGACTGAAGGATGGTTTTAATTTTCCATGATTTTGGAGTGTCACCATGCAAGTCAACTTCAAAGAGATGGGAGTGACCCTGCCTCATAATCCATCCCTTTCAAGATGACCACCTAAAAATGCATGAGGAACATGTATTGGTCTGCATACCAGCTGCCTCTGGTGTCACTGTGGCTGTAGAGCCTCATTTGCACCCATTCAAAGTAAGCATTTTCCATGAAGACAGTACAGCTGTCAGAGGAACGCCTGGAGTTTCCAGAGCCAGGCATTATCTGGATGATAGGCAAGTGTGCAGACAATGTGAAGGGAATATCACAGCACAGCTCGAAGGCATGCAATAAAGCTGCCTTAAAATGGCATTTTCCCAAGTGCTGCTCAAGCCAGACAATACCCATTTGTTGGAATGATGTGACTGCGTGAAGGTGCGAGGCCTGACCCATATTTCGCTGCAGCCATTGACGCAATGACCAACTATTGACCTGTTCATCCATTTTTCTGGGAAGGGACCTGTTTGATTTGTGCATCCTCTTCCAACTTCTACTATGTCTGTGGCATGTTTCTGCTGACCATTTAGGTTTGCTTGGACAAACAGCAGGCTAAGAATGCTTGTGAGATGGTTTACAATTTTGGGTGAAGCCTCTCTGGCTTGAGAGGGGTTGATGGTTGGTGTCACAGGTCAGGGAGCCTCGCACATTTTTCAAGCCAGCTCAGGGGGAACTGAGCAGTCTCCTGACAACTTACTCTTCAATTGCAGAGTTTTTCTCAGCTTCCGCCTGTGGTTATGTACTTTAATTTTGTTTATTTGGGAGGGGCAGAAGGAAGAAGGAGAAGGTTTGTGGGCAAGCTGTTGGAGGCACAGCAGAATGATCTCCTAAGTGGTCCCATCCAACCTGGGTAGAGCAGCAGGTGTTCCTCAGCTGAGGTTGTGACTGGGTCCCACCCAGCCTCTGAAGCCTCCTAAACAGCAAAACTGGGACAGTTTAGCAGCCCACAGGAGGTCTTGCAGGTTGTCAGTGCTCAGTGGGGAGCGGCGGATGGATGTTGTTCTGCAAGCAGTCCTAAGGCAAATGTCAACATGTTGGCCTCCCCACCCACTCTCGCCTGCTGAACTATGCGCTTGCTGAACTATGCTTGCTTGCTTCCTCCAAAAGCAGCTCCACCTCATGCCATTACATCTGTGCTGACACAGGCCAATGTTACCCCACCAGGAGCAGGAAGAGATGAGGGTCCTCTGTTCATTTAGCACAGGCACGGTTGCACATGGAAAGGAGTTTTCCTTGGAAAGGCAGGGTACCTGTTCTCAGTCTTATCTGCTGCAAAGGGATTGAGGGCTTTGGGACTAATCCTTTGGTCAAACTGAGTCCAAGCTTCCAAGCTAATCTGCAAAATGGTTAAATTTGCAGCCCAGATTTGGGGCTGAGAGCCATGTAGCGTAAATCACACAGGATCCCACCATGGTGTATTTTCACTTGTGTAGGTTTCCTGCCAGTTCACTTAGGACAAGCACTGAACTATTTGACAACACAATAAAATGGGTTTTCTACGTGTTAAACCAGATGTTGTGAATGCAAACATTGCAGCATACTTAGTTAAGCTCTCTTGTATGTTAAATGAGTTTCTTGATTAATTTGTTGTTTAAGAACAGAAGACCAGCTCTTAGCAATGGCTTAAATATCTATTGCAAGCCAAAAGGGAGACTGCAGATGTTTGAAGTCTGGAGTTACTTAGAGGAAATAAAATCAGGCTTTTGCCTGTTAGAGGATCTCTGATATAGAAGGGAAATAGAGAGAAAGCATAAAGTAAAAATAATACGTATGCATGTATGTTTGTATGTGTAATTCTTGTTTTACTCTAGGCAGCACACTGGGGACAGGTAATCCTACCTTAAGAATTTGGCCTTAGAAGATCTAATATGAAGCTCTTTGAAGCTGGGAGCATTTCTGTGATTTCTATGATCAGGCCCAGATCGCTGAGCTCATTGGTGCTGTGGCAGATGCATCTGTATTTCAAAAAGCATTTTCCTTTGGATGCACCTGAGCAAAACTGGTGTCCTGGTGAGAAAGTGTTTGGACTGGGAAAAAAGTACTTTTAGCCTTCTGAACTGTCCCTTTGATTTCTCACACCTTAGTGCAACCCACGCAAAACAGAGCCAGGCTGGTGGTCTGGTGAGACAGAGGACGGCTGTTGTTCCTGTGCAAAAGGAGACAACCGGCTCTTGGAGGTCAAGCGACTGTGCCTCCATGTCTTCCAGGTGAATCTGGATGGGGATGGTCATGCTGACAAGCCCCATCACAGCCCTTCGATCTGTCGCCCTGGGGCAGGCTCGGAGGCATCGGAAGAAGTAGGGCTCCCAGAGCAACACACGGGATTTGAGACCCCGTCCAGAGGAGTTTTAATTCCTCTGGGTCACATTTGATCTTGCCTTCAGGTAGTGTTTTTTCAGACGATTTGAAGAGCGCAGCCTGCTGCTTTTCCTTCAGCTGGGTTTTCAAAGGGTAGTAAAGCACCTGCCAAGGGTGAAGGTTGGCTGCCGAGACTGACAGCTGAACACACCAGCTGCCTGCCCTCCGCAGCTGCGGGTTTCTGAGAACTGAAAATGGTTCTTTTATCTTTTATCTTTGCTTTTTTCCCCATCTCTCTTATCAGAGTGTTTAGAGGAGAGGGACGTTGTCCCCAGAATGACAGTGGCATACTGTGGGAGGATGGAGGAGGCATCATAGCCCTTCTCTGATGGAGCCCACCATTTCCAAGACATCTCAGGAAGTCCTCTGTCACCACACATTATCATCTGCTCCTGTTCACCCCATGGATTTGGGGCGGGTTTTTTTGCCTCTCCAAGTGGGGATATATTTGGAGGGCTAGGGCAGGGTGTGCCTATATGTGGGGTTGTGTTTCCTTGTGAGGTGATACCGAAGACAAGCTGATTTGAGTGCCTCGATATGTTATTCATTGCGTTTGTCCTCACCCTGGTATCTGTTTCCTTTCTTCATCAGGAAAATGGGAGCCACTGCCCCAGTGTGACCTGTCTCTAAGGTACGACAAAGTAAAAAACACCTGTCCAGCTCCCTCAGACACCTCCCAGTATGGATGGCTTGGTTGAGCAGAACAGCGTGCTAATGCACAATAAGATCGCTGAAGCCGGGAAAAGGAATGGTTTGATTAATACAAGGAACTTAGTGGCAGAGAGCCGAGATGGTCTGGTCTCTGTGTACCCGACCCCCCAGTACCAGAGCCACCGAGCGAGCAGCCTTTCCTCTCCGAGCTGCCTGGAGAATGGCAGGAATGACCCCGTGCAACAGCTCCTGGACCCCAACATGCTGCAGCAGACAGTGGAGTCTCACTACCGGCCCAACATCATCCTCTACTCGGAGAACGTGCTGCGCTCGTGGGGCGAGAGCATTGGCTCGGAGTGCTGTGAAACTACCTTCATCGAGGACCGCTCTCCCACCAAAGACAGCCTAGAGTACCCGGACAGCAAGTTCATCGATCTCTCAGCAGATGACATCAAGATTCATACCCTCTCCTATGATGTGGAGGAAGAAGAGGATTTCCAGGAGCTAGAGGTCAGATGTCATTTGGGATACGTGGGAAGGCTGGGGGGAAGGGGGGCATATTTGGGGTTAAGTGTAGAGCCTCCAAGAGCTGGTCTGCAGGGGATCAGCTGCTTTGGAAGCTGGTCTGCATGGGATCAGCTGTATCGCTCTCTCCTCTGGCCAGGACAGTGAGCGATCGCTTATCTTTATTTGTTTAGTAAAGTCCCAACTCTGTGGATACTAATGGCAAAATTCCCACTGGCCCTAACGGAGATCAGCATTTCCCTCCTGCCTCTGAATGGGCTGGTCAGAAAATGAAGATGACCTGTGTGCTTAAATGCTGTGTAAAGTCGGGGCCAGGAGTGTCTGTCCACATACACAGAGCTTGTCTTACTCAGCAGGCCAACATCTTCTCTTACTTTCTCCTGACTTGAGCTGGGCATAAGCAGATTTTTCTGCATACTGGCTCAAACACAAAACATTTCTGTCTCTGAATGAACACAAAATCAAAAGTCTTTGGGTTTCAAGCTGCAATGAATCATGTGTCCCTAAAATAAAAGATTTTTTTCTGATGGAGTGAAACACTACATTAGATCCCAAATGCAATGTTTTCTTTTAGGTTCCCATGCTTCATTGATTGCTCGCAGTAAAGTAAGATACATTTTGCTCTCCAAATGGGGCAGACTATGGAAATCAACTTCATTCTTTCTTAAATGATGCATTTTTTACTTTAAAAATTCTTTTTTGGTTTTGGCTGAAACCAGCTGCCCAAGTGCAGCACAGATTTGTGTTTGCCAGTGTGTGTGGGAATGGAGGGTGTGCATAATGCTGCTGATCCCAAAGCTTTCTCCAGCATTGGTCACAGACTCCTAACCTAGCAAAGACCATTTGGCTGTTTGAAGCAAATCATACACCTTCAACTCAAATGTCCAAGTTGAGATTGAGAGACTATTTGCTTGTGTTTCTCTGTTGCAGGGTTTTTTTCCACCGAGACCTAACAAGTCCTAAAACTTCTATTTTCACCTCTTGTAATACCAGTGTCTCACCCTGTGATCAGCACAGGGGCAACCCAACAAGAGCCTGACTTCTCTTTTATTCTCTTTTCTCTCTGTATTGATAAGGTAGGAAGAGAGAGGTGTTTTTCCCAGTGTGTGCCAGTAATGCAGTATTCAAGGTCTCCACAGGGATACAAGAAGTTTCTCTCTGAGGCATGTGAGGGTGTTAGCTCAAATCACACCCTTCTACAGCATTTCAAAATTGGCTGTGGGAAGTCTCGTTTTCTTAATCAAAACAAAAATCCCTAGTTGCTGCCTTTTTGCCCTAGTTTCTCTCATGCAGTAGTGATGCAAGTGACTGCAGCAGGCATGTAATTGCCTACTGGTGTTATTGACACATCTGGCCTGACATTTAGGCAGCAAAAAAAAAAAAGTCTCCCTCTTGTCAATCCAAATCCAGCAAGACCTTCTTTAGCCAACTGTGGGAGAATAGGCTAAAAAAGAATGGGAAAATAAGCAGGACAAGGAAAAAATGTTTTATACTAAAAATCTTTTCCCTTTTCTTGGTGGGATTTTTAAGGTGCCTTTGCAATGTAGGTCCCTCAATCTGGATGTCTCTTCAAAGTGGTACTGTAGGAGCTTGATCAGCTTTTCATAGAGAACATTTGTTTCTAGGAAGCCACCTGTTAAAACAAGGTGTGAGGAAAGTGACTTCATCCTTCCCCTCCCCAGATCTCAAGAGGAGAAAGGAGAGAGTCTTGGCAAATCTTAAAGGAGGGAAATCTCAAAGGCGTAGGAACAGGCTGTCCCAATGCACCGAAAGACGCATGGGGAAGAAGACCGGCCTGGCTGAGCAGAGAGCTTTGGCTGGAACTCAGGAAAAAAGGAGAGTTTATGACCTTTGGAAGAAGGGACAGGCAACTCAGTAGGACTACAAGGATGTCGTGAGATTATGCAGGGAGAAAATTAGAAGGGCCAAAGCCCAACTAGAACTTAATCTGGCTACTGCTGTAAAAGGCAATAAAAAATGTTTCTATAAATACATTAGCAACAAAAGGAGGGCTAAGGAGAATCTCCATCCTTTATTGGATGTGGGGGGAAACATAGTGACAAAGGATGAGGAAAAGGCTGAGGTACTTAATGCCGCCTTTGCCTCAGTCTTTAGCAGTAAGACCAGTTGTTCTCTGGATACCCAGCCCCCTGAGCTGGAAGGCAGGGATGGGGAACAGAATGAAGCCCCCATAATCCAAGGGGAAATGGTTAGTGACATGCTACACCACTTAGATACAAGTCTATGGGGCCAGATGGGATCCACCCAAGGGTGCTGGGAGCTGGTGGAAGTGCTCACCAAGCCACTTTCCATCATTTATCAGCAGTCCTGTCTAACTGGGGAGGTCCCAGATGACTGGAGGTTAGAAAATGTGACGCCCATCTACAAGCAGGGCTGGAAAGAGGATCCGGGGAACTACAGGCCTG